ACCAAAACCCTAATGTCACCTAGATACTCCAATGTCACCTCAAGTATCCGTGGATATGATTATACGATATGCATCACACAATCTCAGACTCATCTATTCAACCGACACAAAGAACTTCAAAGAGTGCCCCAAATTTTCTACCGGAGAGTCAAGACGAAAACGTGTGCCAAGCCCTATGCATAAGTTCACAAGGTCACTGAACCCGCAAGTTGATCACAAAAACATACATCAAGTAGATCACGTGAATATCCCATTGTCACCATAGATAAGCACATGCAAGACATACATCAAGTGTTCTCAAATCCTTAAAGACTCAATCCGATAAGATAACTTCAAAGGAAAAACTCAATCCATTACAAGAGAGTAGAGGGGGAGAAACATCATAAGATCCAACTATAATAGCAAAGTTCGCGATACATCAAGATCGTGTCGAATCAAGAACACGAGAGAGAGAGAGAGAGAGAGAGAGAGAGAGATCAAACACATAGCTACTTGTACATACCCTCAGCCCAGAGGGTGAACTACTCCCTCCTCGTCATGGAGAGCACCGGGATGATGAAGATGGCCGCCGGTGAGGGATCCCCCCCTCCGGCAGGGTGCCGGAACAGGGTCCCGATTGGTTTTTGGTAGCTATAGAGGCTTGCGGAGGCCGAACTCCCGATCTATGGTGCTCCTGGATGTTTTCGGGGTATATGGGTATATATAGGAGGAAGAAGTAGGTCGGTGGAGCTGTGAGGGGCCCACGAGGGTGGAGGGCGCGCCCAGGGTAGGCAGGCGCGCCTCCTTGCCTCGTGGCCTCCTCGCTTCTTTCTTGACGTCCACTCCAAGTCCTCTGGATCACGTTTGTTCCAAAAATAACTCTGTCGAAGGTTTTATTCCGTTTGGACTCCCTTTGATATTCCTTTTCTGCGAAACACTAAAATAGGCAAAAAACAATTTGCACTGGGCCTCCGATTAATAGGTTAGTCCCAAAAATAATATAAAAATATATAGTAAAGCCCATTAAACATCCAAAACAGATAATATAATAGCATGGAACAATCCAAAATTATAGATACGTTGGAGACGTATCATAAACCTACAATCCTCTTTGGATTTGGCAGCGACGGCGCTTCACGTCGTGACCTTTCTGAAGGTGTTGTTAGGGGCCTTGGGGCTCGGTTGGGAGTGTAGAGGAACTGCAGGTGGAGGGGATGTGACCAGTGGCAACATGTGGTGTTCGCGAAGGAGGTGCGGCGTTGCATTTAACATGTCGACAACGGTGGGTCCTAGCGGCATGAATCAGCGGGGTCTCGTTGCTGGGCGTGTGTTGATGGATGAGCGCAGGATTGCGGCATTGTCTGGCGTCGTGGCGGTGTCGATGGCAGCTAGACCGGGCAAGGTTGATGCGTCAGTACAACTCTAAAGATGGATTGGTGTCAGTTGACGACGGCAACCTCTGAGTGTGCGTCGGACTGGTGTGTGCTCGTTGACTAGCTCGTTGAAACAAACATGTACTGTTATGTTTGTCTATGTATTCACACATGTACTAGTATGCCTCTACTTGACTAGCTCGTTGAAACAAAGATGGTTAAGTTTCCTAGCCATAGACAGAGTTGTCATTTGATTAACGGATCACATCATTAGAGAATGATGTGATTGACTTGACCCATTCCGTTAGCTTAGCACTTGATCGTTTAGTATGTTGATATTGCTTTCCTCATGACTTATACATGTTCCTATGACTATGAGATTATGGAACTCCCATTTACCGGAGGAACACTTTATGTGCTACCAAACGTCACAACGTAACTGGGTGATTATAAAGGTGCTCTACATGTGTCTCCGAAGGTACTTGTTGAGTTGGCGTATTTCGAGATTAGGATTTGTCACTCCGATTGTCGGAGAGGTATCTCTGGGCCCTCTCGGTAATGTACATCACTATAAGCCTTGCAAGCAATGTGACTAATGAGTTAGTTGCGGGATGATGCATTACATAACGAGTAAAGAGACTTGCCGGTAATGAGATTGAACTAGGTATTGAGATACCGACGATCGAATCTCGGGCAAGTAACATACCGATGACAAAGGGAACAACGTATGTTGTTATGCGGATTGACCAATAAACATCTTTGTAGAATATGTGGGAGCCAATATGAACATCCAGGTTCCGCTATTGGTTATTGACCAGAGACGTGTCTCGGTCATGTCTACATAGTTCTCGAACCCGTAGGGTCCGCACGCTTAACGTTCGGTGATGATTTATATTATGAGTTTATGTGTTTTTGTGTACCGAAGGTAGTTCGGAGTCCCGGATGAGATCGGGGACATGACGAGGAGTCTCGAAATGGTCGAGATGTAAAGATCGATATATTGGACGACTATATTCGGACATCGGAAAGGTTCCAAGTGATTCGAGTATTTATCGGAGTACCGGAGAGTTACAGGAATTCGCCGGGGAGTATATAGGCCTTATTGGGCCATACGGGAATAGAGGAGAGAGGCCAAAAGGAAGGAGCCCCCCCCCCCTCTGGTCCAAATTGGACAAGGGGTGCAGCCCCCTTTTCCTTCTTCCTCTCCCGCTCTTTCCTTCTCTCCTACTCCAACAAGGAAAGGAGGAGTCCTACTCCCGGTGGGAGTAGGACTCCCCCCTTGGCGCGCCCTCGTCCTAGGCCGGCCGCCTCCCCCCTTGCTCCTTTATATACGGAGGCAGGGGGACATCTCTAGACACAACAACTGATCCCTTGGATCTCTTAGCCGTGTGCGGTGCCCCCCTCCACCATAATCCACCTCGATAATATCATAGCAGTGCTTAGGCGAAGCCCTGCGTCGGTAGAACATCATCATCGTCACCACGTCGTCGTGCTGACGGAACTCTCCCTCAAAGCTCGGCTGGATCGGAGTTCGAGGGACGTCATCGAGCTGAACGTGTGCTGAACTCGAAGGTGTCGTGCGTTCGGTACTTGATCGGTCGGATCGTGAAGACGTACGACTACATCAACCGCGTTGTGCTAACGCTTCCGCTTTCGGTCTACGAGGGTACGTGGACAACACTCTCCCCTCTCGTTGCTATGCATCACCATGATCTTGCGTGTGCGTAGGATTTTTTTTTGAAATTACTACGTTCTCCAACACACTGACCCGGCAACCCTCAAATAATGGCATTCACATCTGTGTATCTCATATATGATCCCTATATCCATACTAAACCTTACAACGTGGATACGTAGATCAGCAAACAGACATAGGCTAGAATACCAAAAGATTGGATGTACAAACGACCACCAAAATTCACATGAACGACGGACAACTTGAAACTACATCTAAAACTTGAAATTAAAGTGAATAAAAGCGGATCTTCACCACTTCCGGGCCGGCCCCTTCCCCTTCCGGTCGTCGGCGCAACTGTAGCCGTCGGTGGCTGGTGAGGATTGTCCGGACGGATGTAGACAGTTTGCAGGTCCGCCTAGGAGATGCCCTAAGTCCCATTATCAAACATTTTGTATTTATCAGATCTAATATGCCCATTGTATATCTTTATTAGAAAAGGTCTGGTTTATTCTAAAAAAAGTCTGGTTTACTTGTTGATGTAATAACCAAGCCTAGCTTATTTGTCATCACCATTACGATACCTAACTAAGAGCATCTTTAATAGAAGATGTATATTTGAAGATGTAATAGTAGGTGTTATATAATTTACATCATAAAAGTATGCTTCTTACATTTCGAAAAAAGTCTCAACTTCAATAGATGATGTATATTTGGTGATGTAAACAAGTGCTTCAAAGATGATGCATATTTAAAGATGTAACATGGCAGATGGCCTTTGCGACATTTTTCCAAACACGTTGGAGGCGGTGGCTGTGGGCATGGTCGCGCCTTTCTCCATGGCTGGTGGTGGGGCTTGCGGTGGTGGAGGAGGAAGCCCATGTCTGGCGGCAGTTGCCGCAACCACCAGCGGCGTCGAATCGACTGAAGCAGCAGCGGTTGCATTCGTCTTCTTTCGTACCCCGAAGAATCTGCTGAGGATCGAGCTACAGCGGCAACCGGGCTTCGAGAGGAACGTCGGCGGCTGAGCAACGAGGAGCGGCGCGACGCCTGAGCGTCTAGCTTCAAATGTGGCGGTAGGAGCTCGAATCGGGCAGTGGATTGGCGGTGGCGGAGTGGCGTGAGAACCTCAAATCGAGCGATGGAAAAGCGGGGGTGGCGTAGCAGCGGGTGTGCGAGGGAAACCGGGCGGCGGTGGGCCGGGCGGGGAGCTCCAGTCGGGCGGCGTCTCGCGGCGGCGGGGCGGCAAAATAGCGGTCGATTTTCAGGGGGAGGGTGAAGGCGGGGCGCTGGAACTGGCAGCGAGGGGAGTGGAGAGGCTGGATCTGGTGACGACGGGGTGCAGCGTGGTCCGGCGAGCGGGCGGCGCGGCGGCGGGCGGGCGGCGTGGCGTGGAGGTGGTTGCGTGGTAGGAGAAGGGGAGGGAAAGTTGTGATCGGTTGGCGCGCGTCTACCGTTTTACAACACTAGAAGATGGAGATGCAAATTAGCGTTGTATTTTACATCACTTGAAGCATGTGATGTAATGTTTTCATATCTACATTATGTGTTAGACAGAGCACGTGATGTACTTTTTTATATCTATACTATGTGTTAGACATGTGTTTTTTTGGCTCGGAGATATGTAAAAATGGGTTATTTTTTATCTACATCTTCTACCCCAGATGTCTTGAGCCCTGCGGCCTGGGGAAAGGAGGAAGCTGCCAAACCTTGCCTCCTAGTATGTGCGTACCCTCGTGGCTGGGCAGCTGGCGCCGAGCTCGATCGTGTCCTGTGCATGGCGGCAGGCGTCCTCGCCGCTGCCACCCACCCACGCTCCGTTGTCCTTATCCTCCCACCGAACTAGTAGAAACCACTCGACACTCTCTCACTTGCCTTCCTCGATTCTTCTCCTTGCCGCTCTGCCCTGCTTAACCTTGCCGCCCGAGGAGAGGGCAGACACCAGCCGGCGGAGCGGGGAGGGATCGGAAACGATGGAGCGGGTGCTTACCACGCTGATGGACCTGGTGGTGCCGCCGGCGAGCATGGTGATGCTGGCCTTCGCCTGGCCCACGCTCTCCTTCCTGCGCGCCCTCGAGTGGGCCATGAAGGCGCTCACCAAGGAGGACATGCGCGGCAAGGTCGTCCTCGTCACCGGCGCCTCCTCCGCCATCGGCGAGGTACGTGCACTGCATGGTCACGCTGCCTAGCTAGCTCCGGCGAACGATTGACGAGGATTGCTTATGGCGTGTGCGGCGCAGCAAGTGGCGTACGAGTACGCGCGGCGGGGCGCGAACCTGGTGCTGGTGGCGCGGAGGGAGCACCGGCTTTTCGCGGTCCGCGAGAACGCGCGCGCCCTGGGCGCCAGCCACGTGCTCGTCGTCGCCGCCGACGTCGTCCGCGAGGACTACTGCGGCCGCCTCGTCGCCGACACCATCGGCTACTTCGGCCAGCGTGAGTGCATACAATCAATCTCTTCCATGCTCTGCCTCAAAGTGGTAAATCTGAGTATCTGACTGTCTGCAGTGGATCATCTGGTGAACACGGTGAGCCTGGGCCACGACTTCCTCTTCGAGGAGGCCGGCGACACGGCGGCGTTCCCTCACCTCATGGACATCAACTTCTGGGGGAACGTGTACCCGACGCACGCCGCGCTGCCGTACCTGCGCCAGAGCCACGGCCGCGTCGTCGTCAACGCCTCCGTCGACACCTGGCTGCCCATGCCCCGGATGAGCCTCTACTCCGTAAGCCCGCCCCTTTCCCGACGCAAAAATTGTACCACCAGTGATCTCTCAGATAAATCAATCGTTGTGCGCTCTGCCGGCTGTCCTTGCAGGCGGCGAAGGCGGCGGTGATCGACTTCTACGAGACGCTGCGGTACGAGGTGAAGGACGAGGTGGGGATCACGGTCGCCACGCACGGCTGGGTCGGCCGCGAGCCCGGCGCCGGCACCGGCATCGGCACCAGCAGGTTCGCGCTCGAGGAAGGCGCGGGGGTGGCGGACCAGACGCAGACGCAGGCGCAGGCGCAGCAGTGGACCAAGGCGGACACGGCGCCGCCGCTGCCGGCGCCGGGAGGGCAGGCGGTGGAGGCGTACGCGCGGGCGGTGGTGGACGGCGCGTGCCGCGGGGACGCGCGGGTGCGGCGGCCGGGCTGGTACGACGTGTTCCACGTCTTCCGCGCCTTCGCGCCCGACGTGCTCGGCTGGACCTTCCGCCTGCTGCTGTCGACCGCGCCCGCTCCGCCGACGGTGGCCGGCAGCGGGCGCCGTGCGCTCGTCGTTGCCCCTGTGGGCGCGCCGGCCGCCGCGCTGCCGGCCCCGCCCGTCCGCCCGCTGATCGAGTACCCGGCCGCGGCGGCTGGTCGGAGGCCCGCGGCGGCGCAGCTGCACAAGCTAGAGTGAGATGAGACCACGGCGCCGGCCGTCGGCGTACGTGGCAACGAGGGCCATTTGCTTAAGCTGTCTGTGCTCTCTACTCCTATCTGTGAACTGATTCTGATGGTGGTTCAACAAATAAATGCTCCATGTAAGAAGAAGAACTCCTTATGCATGCCTAGACTGAAAGTGCCTCATTTTCCCAAAACGATTTTGCTTTACGCGGATTTGCCAAACGAATTTGTGTCGCTGCACCAGACGGTAAAGAGGCTGTTGGTACATGTCAATTATCATGCAGGTTCATTCGCGGAAGAAAATTGTATGGGACAGGGCCTCATAGTCTCCCGCGTGAGGACCCTCTCCAGATTTTGACATGTCACCCTTTGCACACATCTCAAAGCTACTTAAAATTCCCTAATCGCAAGATACGTGTCTGGGAAAAGGTATAGCAATATGCATAAAATAAGGATACAATACGTATCGATCCCAGCAATCCTTCCGAAAGGAAGCTACCGATTATCTCCCCGCTGCTACGACCACTCCCTGCAGGATCGCCGGTGATGACGACCTGCTCGTGGAAGCGGCGGCGATGCGAACTGCGACGGTTTTCCCACTACCACGCTCCGATTGATTGGTAATGTATTGTATCCATACTGCTGCTCATAGACTTAAATACGTAATCAGCTGATTAGGGAATTTTAAACAGCTTTGAGATGTGTGCAAAGAATGACGTGTCAAAATCTGGAGAGGGGCCTCAGGCGGGGGACTATGAGGCCCCGTCCCATACAATTTTCTTCCGGTTCATTAGGGGGAAAGGCCGTGGCAATGTTTGGTTTAGAGCTAATCACTATGTGGGCATGTGTAGTGTAATGTAAGTAGATTGGACTGGTTCTCAAAAAAAAAAAGAGAGTAGATTGCACTGCAGGTTTATGTTGTCATGTGTGTCTAGATGAGAGTGTGGCTACCATTAACTATACAAAGGCGTTGCTTATTAAAACATCAAAGTGGTCGTGCCGGAGTGGTTATCGGGCATGACTAGAAATCATGTGGGCTTTGCCCGCGCAGGTTCGAATCCTGCCGACCACGCTTTCATTTTTATTTTTACTTTTTTTGTTGTTGAAGAAGTTTTGACTCTTCAAGAATTGTTTGGTTTAAACGGCTTGGATCTGGAATCTCATCATCAAGAGTAGATGATTACTAGAGAGATGTATCTCGTACTTTATAAAATTACTTAAGCTTTAATCTACATAGCATGACCACTGCCGACCACGCTTTCATTTTTATTTTTACTTTTTTTTGTTGAAGAAATTTTGACTCTTCAAGAATTGTTTGGTTTAAACGGCTTGGATCTGGAATCTCATCATCAAGAGTAGATGATTAGTAGAGAGATGTATCTCGTACTTTATAAAATTACTTAAGCTTTAATCTACGTAGCATGACCACTAGTCGAGCACGCTTTCATTTTTATTTTTACTTTTTTTTTTGTTGAAGAAATTTTGACTCTTCAAGAATTGTTTGGTTTAAACGTCTTGGATCTGGAATCTCATCATCAAGAGTAGATGATTAGTAGAGAGATGTATCTCGTACTTTATATAATTACTTAAGCTTTAATCTACGTAGATGATTAGTAGAGAGATGTATCTCGTACTTTATATAATTACTTAAGCTTTAATCTACGTAGCATGACCACTAGTCGAGCACAGATGGTTATATGCATTGGCTGATATTTCTTTTATCCTTGCATGCATCAATCTGATGCGCCTCAGAATGTAAAAGAGTGATGGAGAGAAATGAGAATAGTAGTAATAGGAAAACTAAAAAAACTAGTAAACAGCCCGTGCGTTGCGACGGGCTTTGTAAAATTTGTACTGGTTGCATATCAAATTTAATATGGACAGAAAAGATAGCCAATAACATAAAAAAATGATTTAAAATCCTCTTCACTTGCAATGTATTTCGATAAAAAAATCGACCATATAATAGAAAGACTTATCATATCTGATTCACAAAATAAAGAAGGGGCTACAAAACATTGAACTCTTTATTGTGCTCTGCATTACAAATGATAATAACACTTGAATGCCTTTATTATTTATGCTTAAGATATCATCTCACAAAAGCAAGTGTATTGTTATTATCCATTAATTGAAGACAAACACATGGAGTATTTTGTTCCCTTTAAACAAATGTTCGAACAAGTTACAACCAGAAACTCAATTCCCTAAAAAAAGAACTTGATTGCAATATGCAAAAGCCTATATTCTAGAACATGCAATTCACCATTTAGGTACTACTGCAACAAAACACATCTTCTAGAACATGTTACTATCTTGGGAGAGGTAAATATATCAATCTTTGATAGCATTTATTGTTAAAAAATTGTGTATACATTTATTTGTATTTTTATAATATTGTGATAAATCCATTGATGATTTTCTTCTAGTTTGTTTGAGCTGTGTACGCCTGATTTGGTGTATCGGTTCAAAAGTAACTCACATAAGACTCAAAAGGAAATGTGTGTTGTAGTGTGAACTCTGACATAAACCGACCGAAGGAAAAGCCTAATTCGGTATACACTCAGACTTTAAGCTCAAATATAAGTGTGAATCACAGGAAGCATCAATTGTGAACAACAAGGCTAAAATTTGCACAGAGAATATGTTGTCGCAAGTTTAAAACATATGTTTTTTTCCCGTTTTAGCACAAAACTTGGAAAATACACAGTCGGATTGAGGAGAAAACAAGTTTATAAGATTAGTCCTATCAATTGTTCATTATTCTATTAGCAACTAAAGTAGAGAGATGGATAGATATATAGAGAAACAATACCTAATCAGATCCCCCAAACATCGTGAGGCAATATAAAATGTCTGAAAAAATATAGTTCTCTGAAATATTGCAAGGGAGCCCCAAGACATTGACATTCTAAATTGCTTAGAGCTTAAATGCTTAATACAATCATGCTTCTCCATTTTGAGCCAATCCACCTAACGTGGACTACTTCATTAATACATGCAATCATTCTAGATAGCCTGCAAAATAAGAGGTAAAAGTCAGTAAATATTGTACAAATAATTTTTTTAGTTGGATTGAAAGGCTCAAATTAAAAATCAACAAATATATGCAGGGTTATTTCATACTGCTAGTTTATTGGGCAGCATTAATCTCCTTGTCGGCATATAATGTATAATCCAAAATCATATTACCAATTTTGGGGCAACTTTATACTACTTGCGAATATAAAGAATATGATTAACTAACAAATATTGGATTGTAATAGATGTGAAAAAAATACTTCTATGCTTCAACGAATCATATGGTGTGAGTATCGTCTGAAAGATTTTAGGATAAATATAAGGATAGAAGGCTGTTTTGTTCAAGGAAACAGAATGACTCTCCTTACACCAAGTCTAAGTTCATCATCATTCATCATTGTTACATGTATAAAACGGGGAAATACACAATGAATAAGAGGAATAAGGATAAAGAGCTGCTAACTTCATCGCACTGTTCATCGCACTGGAGCAGCCACACACTTGTACCCGGCACTACTGCGTGTCAATGCAGATTAGAGAGATATATAGTTTAGGATCCAGAGATGGAAGAAGATACCTGGGCCGACACTGCTCTCGTTGATTCAAAAATCCCTAGGACCATCCCCCAGCAGCGGGCCCACTCATCCTCTTCAAGGCTGCCTACCGCCTCGCGCTACTCCTTTTCTCGCTTATCTCCACCGGCGCTCACCTTTCCGCTGATGCCATCCGTCATGCCCTTCGTCTGACAACAGAAATAATTTGTTGTGAATATATATTGCCAATTAGGCATGAACAATCATTGCAAACTCAAAATTCGATTACTGTAAAAGATGGAGCTCGATATCAGATTACTTGATCTTTCGTAGAGAAAAACAAAATACTAAACCAAACTTTGCTAGAACAGCAGGAGATCAGCCCAAATAACTGCTCCATCACCATATGCATAGTTATAAGATAATTAAATATTCTGATTCATCTGCACGGGCATCAAGTTTCATTATAAGGGTTCAGATTTATTTTAGGGCAGAGAGACTTTAGATGGTTTCTATCTCCCTAAATTCTAACCCCAATGTGCATCTATGTCCCTGTTTCTTACATCCTCACTCACCGACCAGATCAAGAAGAAGCACCCAGATCATGATTCAAGTATTTTAAATTCAAAAGACAAAAAATTAACATCAAAATAATCTCGAATAACAATGGCACCACCAATACCAAAATTGAGAAGTATGCTAGATGGTCTCTCCGAATTTGTGAGATTTCCATATATCTAGATCTTATGTACACGGGCTCATGTCTAGATCACTTTCATCAAATACTCATCATCAACTTAACTTGGATAGTTGGTCACATGTGCCATGGATAGTTGGCCACATGTGCCATGTGGTACGTCTAGATCACTTGTTAGGCGTATTTAGGACTGCTCTCAACGTACAGTAGCCACTCCTATATGTACAGGTACCTCGCCGTACCGCTTCTCACCGTACAGGTATCCCCCTCACTACACAGGAGCCGATCACACAAGCCGCTTGTCCCCACCACGGCGTTGCTCTGCCGACTTCCTCTCCCGTCAGCCTCCACAGCCTCGTGCCCATGTCCTCTCCCCACCATGGCCTCACGCCACCCCGCCATGGTCCCGCCCCACAACCAACTTCGTCGGTATCATAGAGATCGATGTCGTTGCTGGCGTCCATCCACGGCGACGACGACCTGGAATGGCTCTAGGCCAAGGCGGTTGCCGAGGCAAAGAATCTCTGCCTGGCCGCCTAGAAGGGCATGCAGCTGGCGGCCAAGCAGCCGTCCAAGCACACTCCACCTGTGGTCTTCCTGCAGGTCGTATTGTGGCTGAAGATACTAAAGATACCAAAGATAAACGCAAAAAATTTAAAAAGATCATATCAACAAGGTATGCAAGTAATTTCTTTTGGGTGTTTGAATTGCCACATCTTGGGTTTTGTTTTTAGTCCATTATATATTCTAGGGACAAACTTC